CTAGTTGTTACGTCGTCGCGCGCGTGGGAGGTCGGCTTCGGCGGCCGTGGGTTGTTCTCGTCCGCGTGCAAAGTTTGACTTTCCCTTTGTCGCTGAGTAATTCCCTCAGGTATCCTTGGTTCAGCATCCTGACCACCTCTTGCCGTAGGCCTATGCAGTCTTCGATTTTGTGTCCCCGCTCCTGATGGAACTCACATAGGGCGTTTGATTTCCTTGTAGCAGGGTCTGATTTCATCTTCTGCGGCCACTGCACCTTGGTGCCCAGCTTCTCTAGTGCGTACACTATTTCTGAAGGAGATACACAAAAGTTATGGGCGGTTAATAAAGGGGGCGTACCTCTTTCGTTTCGGAGTGGGGCGACGTGTCGCTGTAGCGCGTCTGTATGCCTTGGTGGCGTATGGGAATCTGGTATATGGCTGATGTCGATCTCTGTTGGAGCGGGGGAGTTGTTCTCGTCGTCCTTCGTTCCGTCGATCTCTCCTCGTTTCTGAGTGTACCGCTGTTAGTCGTTGGGTCGGCCCATTAAGATCGTCCTCGTCAGCTCGTACCTCGGCGCAATAGGCGTTGTGGATTTCCTCCCATGTGGTAGGGGGATATTTCATGAGGCGGCTCAGCAGCTTTTTGATTGCCCTTGAACCATCCCTGCTTAGCCCGTTCTGGAAAGCGGCAACTGCCATACCTTCCGATACGTTTGGTAGACTCATCCTTACCCTGTTAAACCTTGCCAGGAAGTCCCTGAGTCCCTCTCCTGTGGTTTGCCTGACGGCGAAGATGTCGTTGACCCTGGCCTCCGCTTTCTTCGCGCCTGCATGGGCTGTGACGAACTTATCCGCCATTTCCTCGAACGTTGATATTGCCTTAGCCGGTAGCTGAGAGTACCATGTTAAGGCCCCTCCTGTCAACGTCTCGCCAAACTTCTTCAGCAGTACCGACGGTACCTGTTCTTTCGATAGATCGTTGCCTTTCACTGCGGTGACGTAGTGGATCAGATGATCCTCGGGATCTGTGGTTCCGTCATATACCCTCAAGTAGGGTGGCATCTTAAAGGTTTTTGGGGTGGAGTGAGGGGCAGCTTCTTCAGTGTAAGGTTGTTCAACGAACCTTCCCACGTAACGTTTTGGTAGCAACTTGGGAGCACCGGGGATCTTGTCGACCCTCTCCTGATGTTCCTTTATCTGGTCGCGGAGCGCCTTATTTTCATTTTCCATTTCTTCCATCTTTTTTAGGATGGCTATTAGCGTGCCATCGTTGGTCTGTGTCTCGATGGGTTTGTTATTCGCTAGTGCAACTTCCGGTTCACCCACGGCAGTAGTGGTACCTACCGTTGGTGTACACCCGATGTTACTTTGTGGTGACCTCTCAACCAAGCCACTTAGAGTGCTTGTTAGCCATCTTTCCAGTAGCTCTTTGACCGCTGAGGGTGCTTCCGTAGCCGCAGATGTGGAAGCTCCTTTTTCGTGCAAGATCGTCAGACCTTCGGATGGGGAAGGTGAGATCTCTGCACCTGGTGTGATGCTAGGGGTTGCATTCAGGATGCCATCGTCACTGGCCTCGTTGAGAGGGCTAAGGAGATTGGTAGTGACACCCAATATAGCTTTCGATCTTGTGTTATTTTCGGCCATCTTCTGTTTTTGTGTGGTGTAGAGAGTGGTAGTTAGTTGATCTCCAGGTGGATACTATGATTTTGATTCTCGAAATCCCCACAGACGGCGCCAAATTGTTTGGCTCAAAAGTTAACGATATACTTTGTAAGCTAAAAAACAATCAAAAGTAGAAAAAGGGGTAAATTGCAATCAAATATAATAATCCTAGAGATGCAAAGATGATAATATTGTTGTAGATCTAGTATTGCAAAGTGATAATATGAACTCAATAAGATATGTTCGTTTGAAGTAGAGATAGAGAGAGAAAGCTAGAAAAATGAGAGAGTTGTATTATATCAGATGCCCCTTTTACAATGTGAGGGTCTCCTTTATATAATAAGAGACCCTCCTCGAAAGAATCAAAAAGTTACAAAGACAGGTAACGTCTCCCTAGTGAAGACACTGAGTCCTAAACGATGTCGCTTTTGTCCCCACGGCCGAGTCGTGCCCGCTAGATTAGTCGGCGTACACTCACTGGACGTACTCACTGGCGTAGAGATGCTGAGGGTCAAATTTGACCCTATACAAATATCGTAAAATTAGGCAGAAAATTGTTTAAAATTTACATACTTGTGACAAGCTACAAGAAGCTCCTCATTTTTTACCCCTTTAAGATTTTCTGCTCCCAATCTAACTAAGAAAGACCGCCAATGTAGACTTTCCTCTGTTGGAACTCCATTGAAACTGCATGCAAAAAAAATAAAAATAAAAATTAAAAAAAATTAAAAAAAAGGAATCGGACTTGTGCTTGATATAAATTAAATGATTAATCTTTTCTTTTTCTCGATGAAGAAAAGAGTTGCATAGTAGTTGCTCAATGAGAAATACAAATAAAAATTATTAGTATTAAAATTGATGAATGCTACATAAATCACTTATAATACCCCATTCTATTGTTAAATTAAAGTACATTTTTTTTCTTCTTTTTTTTTAGTATTTTTTTTTTGGGCGAGTTGGATCGGTAAATGTAAGTAAAAGGGGAAAGAAGAAGAGAGGACAACCATGAGATTGAACCGTTACAAATTCAGGTTAGATGTATAGTGGATGAGCTCTGAACTCCGCCACTATTTTTAAAGTCACAGATGTTCATAAGGGAGAAAAACGAAAAGAAGAGAAGTCTATTACAAAAATAATTACTGAAAATAACATCCAAAGAAAGAAGAGGTTGAAGTTAATTACCGTTCTACAAGTATATTGCCCTCAGAATTGGCTATTAGTATAGCAAGCAACATGTTGCTTCTTCTTCTTCTTCTTTTTCTTCTTTCTTTCGAAAGAAAAATAAAGCAACAAAAACTAGTAAAAATTAAGGAGGAAATTGTCGAGTAACTTTTTATTTAATCTTCTATTTCGGATCAAAGTATTTCAAATCAACAGAACAAGACCAAGTCATCAGCAAGAGAGTAGGAAAATGTGTTGCGTAATTAGATAGGTATATATATATTTCATTGTGGGGTGGAAAAATATAACAGTTGAATCTATTGGTCAAATAACTACCAATTTCTGAGACAAACTGGTTCACTAATTTGCTATAAAATGCTCATGTTATACTTATTTAATTTTGATTGTATCAAATCAAATACAACTAGTATATATCTTTTGGCTCGTAGGGAATGAAATTAAAAAGAGACTGAGTTTTCCTAATATGTGAAAATGAGTGTAGAAAATGTTCAAAATATATAGAGAATACTTTAATACATATAGGGTGTGTTTGGTATAACGAAAAATATTTTACGTGGAAAATATTTTTTTGAAAAACAAGTAGTATTCTTATTCATTTTTCGGTGTTTGGTACGCAAATTAAGGAAAATAACTTCTCAAGAGTATTCATAAATAATTTAGATACAATAAACATGAAGCCATAAACTTTTGAACCAACAACTTTCCGAACCCACAAATTTTATAAACTTCCGAACCGCTAAACTTTCGAACCCATAAACTTTATAATTTTTAAACCCGTAAACTTTCAAACACAAAAACCTCCGAACTCATAACTTTTTTATTGTGCGGGGTGGGGGACAGTGGGGTGGGTGGTGCAAAAAAACAAAAACACAGAAATTTAAAACTTACAAAAAAAAGAAACTTGTTTTTGTGCGGGGTGGGGTTGGGGGGGGGGGGTGGTGGATGGTGCAGAAAATTGGAAAAACAAAATTTAAACTTACAAAAAAAAAAGGTAAAAAAATAATTTTTTTTTGCGGGGGTGGGGTAGCAGGGTGGGTGGTGACGAAAAAAGAAAAATTTGAAAAAAAAAGGAGCCTTTTTTTAGAGAAGGGGTGGGGTGGGGTTGGGTAGGTGGGTTTGGGGCTGTGGGGATGGGTTGGTGAGAGTGGGGAATATGGTGGGGAAGGTTGAGAAGGAGTTTTGGAAAATGTTTTTGCTTCTCTTGATAAGGAATACATTTTCCTCCAATTGGAGAAAAATGGGTTCATAAGGAAAATGTTTTCCAAAACATTTAAGCCAACCAAACATAGAAAAATTGAAAAATATTTTTCGAAAAATATTTTCCTTCATACCAAACACACCCATAGCCAAAAATCATTTTGATTTGCTTGTCCCTGAAAATATTTCATGGTCTAAGCACCGTAGAGAATTGAGAATTTATTTTAATTCTTTCAATTAAAATGGCGTCGATAAAAATTTAAATATTTTGTAATGGAAAAAATGTATAAAACTACAGTCAACTTTTGCGTTCCTCTTGTTGCTAATTTTACTATATTTTTTTTATATTTTTATTACTTTTTAAAAATAAATCTATTTTTGAAATAATAATATAATTGGAATAAGAAAAAAGCAGGAAAGACGCGCGTGTACACACATACATACACTTTTCCTTAACTGACCTATAATAATAAATAATTCTAAATAGGTTCCCTGATAATAGATGCTCATTTGTCCTAAAATCGATCAAATATCATCTTTTGATCTTCTGGAGTATTATAACTTAAAATTAGGTTTATCAGGACTAGACATTTATCTATATCACCAACGGTCAAAGAAGAATAGATTTTCATAAAAGCAGGAAGTCTTAAATATTGGTTTGTCTTTAGATGCGGGAAGGGTGGACATTCAATTCGACGAACACATAATCCAACACATTAATTTGAATTGATTGATTAAATTATTTTATATAATTAAATTCGAAAATCAATTCTATTTTGATCATTTCTTGGATTCCATCAATTTCCATTAAATTCATTTTCGATTTTAACGCCAACAGTTACCGATATACGCAACCACTCTAGCCCTACTCTAGTCAGCTCTCTATCTTTTTCTCCAACCTTCGATGATCCTTCTGTGCGCAAACCATCAAAGTCGAGAAGAAGTGATGAGGCCTGATCTTCTGATATCAATATCAACATCTTGCATAGATTTCCAGAATCCTTTTGTACCCCTAGCACTCTTTGTGTCAACATCTTGTATAGATTTTCAGAATCATTTTGTAACCCTAGCACTCTACACCCTACTCTAGCCATCGTCCTATTTCTTTCTCCAACCTTCGATGATCCTCCCGCGCGCAAACCATTAAAGTCAAAAAGAAGTGCGAGGCATGATCTTCTGATATCGGTATCATCATCTTGCATAGATTCCAGAATCACTCTGCAACACTCTCCATGTCAACCGAACTAAAAATCACAATATCATCCGTAAATAACAGATGAGTTACATCTCGACTTTTTCGTGCTAATCATAATCTACATAAACTTTTAGCCATTTAAAAATGATTTAGCGGAGCTGATAATTCACATAAATCAAGAATAAATATGATGAAAATGAATCAAACTTACCCTAATTTCCTCGATCTCCATTTATGTTGAACAAGAAAGATAAAATCATTATATATTGCTTCATCTAATCAATGGAAGTACAATCAAAACTCATTTTTATCATAATGCAATATACATATTTCATTCAACTTTATTATATACTTGTCACATATCCACCTTAATTTCATATGCTTTTTTGGTTTCCTATGAATTGATAATCCAAGATTTTTAATGAAAATCTTAGACTTATAAAAGTAGGTTTTTAAACCATTTGATATTGGATCACCCGCTCAAACCCGAATATATTTTCTTCATCGTCTCTCCTCTTTCCCAGTACTGTAACAGTTGCAAAAATACAGTAACAGCTATGGATTCTTCAAATAATAATTCTCCTCAATCTGTACCTTATATTACTAGTAACAATCCTCTTCAGTTCACCATTCATTTGCCCAATTTAAACCCTAATTCTACTCCCAATTTCACTCCAATTCCAAACCCTAACCCTAATTCTAATTCAATTTCAGACGAGCTTCTTTCTCTCTCTATTCCGAGGAAAAGGAGACGAGGTAGGCCCCGAAATTTACCTTTGAATCAGGTATATCACAATTTCCCCAATTCTTCAAACACTTTAATAAATTCGAATTTTGTGGGTAATTTAAATGCTGTTAGAACGATTACTGCTAATGATACTTCGGATGAGATTATTGTAATAAATAAAGAGGCAACGACTGAGGCGTTAATCGCTTTAACGGCTGGTTTTCCAGCTGATTCTTTGACTGATGAGGAAATTGAAGCTGGGGTTGTTTCTGTAGTGGGTGGTATTGAACAGGTTAATTATATTCTTATTAGGAACCATATAATTTCCAAATGGCGTGAAAATGTGTCGACTTGGATAACAAAAGAGATGTTCATCGATGTTATACCTAAGCATTGTAGTGGTCTGTTGGATTCTGCTTATAATTATGTGGTGTCGCGTGGGTATATTAATTTTGGAGTTGCACCGGTTGTTAAGGATAGGATTCCGGCTGAGCCGAGTAAGGGTAGCGTGATGATTATTGGGGCGGGACTTGCGGGGTTGGCTGCAGCGAGGCAGTTGATGTTGTTTGGGTTTAAGGTTACGGTTCTGGAGGGAAGAAAGCGTGCCGGTGGAAGGGTGTATACGAAAAAGATGGAAGGCGGGAATAAGGTGGCTGCTGCTGATTTAGGAGGGAGTGTGTTGACGGGGACGCTAGGGAATCCATTAGGTCTCTTGGCACGACAGCTATCTTACACGCTTCATAAGGTTAGAGACAAATGTCCACTTTATCGTGTGGATGGGAAGCCAGTTGATCCTGATTTGGATCAGAAGGTGGAGGCTGCTTATAACCTACTTTTGGAGAAGGCAAGCAAGCTCAGGCAGTTAATGGGAGAAGTTTCTCAGGATGTTTCTCTTGGAGCAGCATTGGAGACATTCCGTCAGGATTATGATGATGGAGTGAATGAAGAGAAGATGGGTTTATTTAATTGGCATCTTGCTAATCTGGAATATGCAAATGCAGGTCTGATTTCTAAGCTTTCTTTAGCATTTTGGGACCAAGATGACCCCTTTGACATGGGAGGGGATCACTGCTTCCTGCCCGGAGGAAATGGAAGACTAGTTCAGGCATTGGCCGAAAATGTACCTATTCTTTATGAAAAAATTGTGCATACCATTCGTTATGGTAGCGATGGCGTACAGGTTGTCGCTGGGGGACAAGTATTTGAGGGAGATATGGCACTGTGCACTGTTCCCCTTGGAGTTCTGAAAGGTGGTTCTATTAAGTTCATTCCAGAGTTGCCTCAGCAGAAGCTTGATGGAATAAAAAGATTGGGATTTGGATTGTTAAATAAGGTTGCAATGCTTTTCCCATATGTGTTCTGGGGCACTGATCTCGATACCTTTGGGCATCTTACTGATAATTCTAGTAGCAGGGGTGAGTTCTTTCTGTTTTATAGCTATGCAACCGTTGCTGGTGGTCCCTTATTGTTAGCTCTAGTTGCTGGAGAAGCTGCACACAAGTTTGAGACCATGCCTCCGACCGACGCAGTGACAAAAGTTCTTCAAATTCTAAAAGGTAAAATGCATTTTTTGTTGCAATTATTTTCCTTAATCTTGAAATAAAATTTCTCATTCTGTTGTAAGGATATAATGCAGCATAGTAACAAGAAGAAAAGAACAATAATTTCAGGGCAGAAAGAATAAGAAAATTTTAGGAGATAATGTTATTTTCTCTTGGTTGTTTTGGTTAGGAAGAGATAGACATAGTAAAGCTTGTTGGAGATAATGTTACTTTTGAAAAGGCATTCTTGATACATGGAGCTTGCTTTTAAGGTTCTCGTTTCTGATGCATTAATGATAACTTTGAACATTGCTGTCAGGTATATATGAACCGCAAGGAATTGAAGTGCCAGAGCCGATCCAAACTGTCTGTACAAGATGGGGAAGTGATCCTTTCAGCTTGGGTTCTTACTCTAATGTTGCAGTAGGGGCATCGGGAGATGACTATGATATTTTAGCAGAAAGTGTGGGCGATGGCAGACTTTTCTTTGCTGGCGAGGCCACTAATAGGCGCTATCCAGCCACTATGCATGGAGCTTTTCTTAGTGGGCTTAGAGAAGCTGCGAATATGGCCCACCATGCTAAGCTCAGAACCATGAGTTTGAAGGTTGAGAAAAAACCATCAAGGAATGCTTATTCTTATGCTTCTGTTCTGGCGGATTTATTTAGGGAGCCAGACTTGGAATTTGGTAGCTTTTCTATAATTTTTGCTAGAAAGAGTTCTGATCTAGAGTCACCAGCAATTTTGAGGGTGACTTTCAGTGGAACCCAAACGAGGAGTCATGATGGGATAAGGCCTAATCGACATCTTTCTAACAAGTTACTCTTTCAGCAGCTTCAGTCCCACTTTAATGACCAGCACGAGCTTCACGTTTATGCCTTGTTATCCAAGCAACAAGCCCTTGAGCTTAGAGAGGTCAGAGGTGGTGATCAGATGAGGCTGAATTTCCTTTCTGAGAAGCTTGGGGTGAAACTGGTTGGTAGAAAAGGTTTGGGTCCATTGGTTGATTCTATAATTGCCTCAATTAAGGCTGAGAGAGGCAGGCGCAAACCTGGGTCCAGGTGTCTTACGCTTAAATCTGGTGAAATCATCTCTCTCTCTCTCTCTCTCTCTCTCTCTCTCTCTCACACACACACACACACACACACACACACACACACACACACACACATACAGAGGAAAGAGCAAGTAGCTTTATTGTTTCTTTTATTGAAGCCGTAGCACATATCAATTTAAGCGTAACAACTTTTCCTTAAACAGGTGTCATGAAGTCAAAAGCCACCACTCTCAGGCAGAAAATAGTTCGGTATGAGCACCCACCCTTTCCTTTTCTCCTTCCTCTCTTTATCTCTCTAGTTTGTTCTTTTCTTTTCTTGTTGGCAGTGAATCTCAACTTTTTTCTGGATCCTGTTTTTGAATTGTTTCAGAAAGGCTAAAATAGTAGGGGGAGGCAATAGAACCACTTCTTCCACTGCAGAGAGCAGCAGGATTAAAGCAGTTGGCAACAGCTCCACCTCGATCCCTCCAACAAATGTTACTTTGGAATCTAAACCAGTTTGCACTATTGAATCTATAGCTTCTCCAAGTTTGAATATTGGTGTAAATGACAACACGGGGTCAAATTCATTGGGTAGTAGTTACATATATCTGCTTCCGAATGCAGGTATTGGTGATAAGTTTGAGAGTGATATTGGTAATTCTACCCCTCCCATTTTGGATGCTGGAGAAAAGACAGGAAGCAATATTAATGGCCCTATTTATCCCCAGAGTACATATGATGATAGCACGAATACATATGCTCCGCCTTCCAGTGGAAATTCGGCTAGTTAGTACACAACATGTTGTAGTAGCAGACAACTATAGAAGCTATTGAGAGAACATCCTGATGTTGGTGGATGTGGAGTCGATGACTTTTGAAGTACTACAAGAGTTTATCCGCAAGAGATGTAACTCTCATCTGGAAGAGTCATCACATAAGAGTCTTAATGGAGTTTATTAGTTTGAAAATGAAAAAGAAAACTTCATAAAATGCATTGAGAAAAAGAGTTGCAAGACTTGACCAAGTTAGATGAAAGAAATCTAAGTAAACACTTTCTTTAGAGTTGCGTAAGGTGTTGACCACAAGTAATGGCAGAGCTACATAGGCTCAAGGGTGGTCAATTGAATATTTTCTATCGGAAGCCTAAAGTAGTTAAAAATATTGACAACAAAATTAGTAAAAATATATAAATTTTGACTGAAATATATTGGAAAATATTTAAACTTGAGAGATTTTACTACCTAAAAACACACGCGAAAAGTAAACAAAAGAAAATAAATGCTACCCCCCCCCCCCCTCCTGTCGCCCCTCCCGCCTAGGTTGGTTCTAAGTTTTAAGATAAAATAAGTGATTAGTGAGAGACTGACGTGACAAAATTTGGCTAAAGAATAGGGTAACCATTTTCCCGTCCAACTTTACGTAAAAGATCTTCCCCTCCAATATTTCGATTAACTTTGAACAATTCACATTTTCTCTTATATCATACAGAATGTCTATCGCATAGCCTATGCCCGACTCTAAGTAATATTTTTTTATTATATTTACATTTTTCACCTAGGTGCTTTAGCTATAATTTGAGAAAACTACATTAGTGTCTTGTGTTAATTATCTGACTTTTTCGTAAAAATTGCATGGGCACCCTATTTGGTCGCCCCCTTTTAACTTAGGCCTCATTTGTTTTTTTTAAGATTAAGACGTCTGAATCTGAATACACATCTGAATATCAAGATGTGTATTAAGATTAATACATCTGAATCTGAATATATATCTGAATATATTGACATGTGTATTAAGATCTGAATAGAAATAATTAAGACTGTTTGATTTTTAACATCTGAATATATAAAATTTATCTTTATTTGAATATTAATAAACATAAAATTCAAATGAAATACTAACTAATCTAATATTCTATCAATAAAATATATAGTTTTTTAAAATATGATAATTGTTGGTGGTGATGGCTAACGGGTGAATGTCGACTAGAGGCGGTGGTTGGTGGTAGTTTTGGTTGATGATGTGGTTCATGCTAGTAGCTAGTAGTGGTTGGTAGTGGTGGCGATTATGATTGAGGATGGTGGTGATAGATAATAATGGCGGGTGGTGCTAATAGTTGTGACTGAGGAAGGTGGTGGGTGGGTGGTGGTAGGTTATAAGATGGGCAGTGCCGGCTGTGGTTGTTGATGGTGATGGAGTGGTCAGTTGTGGTAGTTGAGGTGGATTAGTGTTGATTGTGGGTGAGAATGATGGTGGTCGGAGTGGCGGGGATAGTGGGTGGTAATGGTTGATAATGGTGGCGGTTATGATGGAGGATGATGTTGGTGGTGGTGGTTGAGTATAGTGGTGGTGGCGGCATGGTGGTAGTTAATAATGTTAGGCGGTGACGGCAGTTAATAATGAATATGTGATAGCATCTTAATGAAATTAAGTCGCTGTTATAGATATTAATCATACAGACCTATTCAGACCCATTAAGTGGTTGTGAAGTAAAAAAACACTTAATGATTAAGATTTGAATAATTAAGATTCAGACTTTAAAAACAAACGCACTTAATGTCTGAAATCTGAATGATTAAGATTCAGACCTCCATTAAGTGCAAACAAATGAGGCCTTATACCCGTTTTGTTTTTCCATTTGCATCCGTACCCATTTTTTTTTTGTTAAAAGCGTTTTAAAAAGACGATTTTGCCCTTCATGACTATTGACAAAACTGTAGACTGCAGGACAAAACTTCAGCATGTTTTGGCATGAAGTTTTAGCAAATGAACTAAATAACTTAAGCATGTTTAGTCTGAAGATTTAGCAAATGAACTAAATAACTTAAGCATGTTTAGTCTGAAGTTTTAGTAAATAAACTAAATAACTTAAGCATGTTTAGTCTGAAATTTTAGCAAATGAACTAAATAACTTCAGCATGCATTAGCAAAAACTCATTAGAAAATTACATACTGCAAGACAAAAACTTAAGCATGTTTAATCTGAAGTTTTCGCAAATGAACTAAATAACTTCAGCATGTTTAAACTGAAGTTTTAGCAAATGAACTAAATAATAACTTCAGCACTCATGACAAAACTGTAGACTGTAGGATAAATAACTTCAGCATGCACTAGCATGAAGTTTTAGCTTCAATGTAAAACAACTTCATGCTATAGTAGCATGAAGTTTTAGCTTCAACATGAAACAACTTCACGCTACATTAGCATGAAGTTTTTAGCTTCAAGGTGAAACAACTTCATGCAAGTGTGATTATGAAGATGAATCTAGACAAGTTTCTGGTTTTTTGATAAAGCTGTTGAGAGGAGAGGAGGAGATCTTTTTTCATGAATGAGGTTGCAGATCACGCGATTTATCAGGGGTGTAATTGTCATATTATTACGGATTTTTTGTCAACTGGCTACCAAATCAATAATTTTTAAAAATAGGGTACAGATTAAAAGGTGACACAAATATAGGGTACGATTGCAAATCCCCCAACTTTTTCAATTACTAGAAATAACTTTACCTAATATTTAAGACTTTGAATTAAAAATTAAAACCTTCATATATGTTAATAAAGTTTTTCTTACAAAGAGAACCAAGGTAGAGTATTGTAACACATTGTTAATATTTGTTAACTTGAAGTAATCCATACCATTATAAATAAAATAGGAAATTTTACCTCCTATAGTAAAGCTTTACACCTTATTCATTATAAATAAATATCCTTTTAAAATATTATTTTCCTTTTAGGTTTCATAGTAAAATATGTATTTATGATCACTTCCTACCGTTTAGCCATTAAATACTCTGGGTAATATTTTTCTCTCTCCTACTTTTTGTATACAACTTCAAAAACCAAGATCTCTCCGCCATCTCTCTCTCTCTCTTAGTCTCTTCTCCATGAATACAACCACGAATACATATTATCCGGCGTTTCCAAATTCACTTCAATTCCACGCATTTACACCTCAAGCTAGAGATTACTACTGTGTCTGTTTGCATGTTTGTAGGTATAATAATATACGACAACAAATGTCAATGTCCGTACATGATGATTGTTCGTATGAAAAAGGAAAAGAACCAATTAGTCGAAGTTACTTGCCGGAGTACACTCGCTCCTTACTTAAATCCGTTCTTCATCACCGTTACCAATGCCGCCGCCGCCGCCACAACCAATCTTTAACCTAAACCTTCTATAGAGCAAAATTATACCATCACTTCGGATCTAAACAAATGTGAGAGAAAGAGGGGAAAGAGAACAGACACAGAGATAGTATAATTTTGAGAAATCTTCGACAGAATATATGTATTCAATGTATTGTAGAATGTATTAATATATTTTTTTAATTAATATAATTTATGTATTCAGAAGTATATATGTATTTCAAGTGTATCTGCAGTATGTATTCATATGTTTTTGCACTATAGATGACCTTCTATGCTTCATGTATTCAATGTATTATTTGTATTTAACTGTATTCAATGTAAATATATAATTTCAGTATATAATCTATTTGTAAAGATACCACTAAAAAATATTTTAGTAAAGATACCAATAAAAAAAGAAAGGATAGATTGAATCTCTGAAGATTGTTTGTTTTTGGGGTGTTTTTCGGCTGAGAATCTTTTCTATAGTTGGAAATACAAATTTTGCGTGTTATAATTGAGTTTGGTGAGTTATATTAGGAGTCTATTGCGTTAATTGATTCACTTACCGTTTTTAAACAGTTGAAGACCTTTTTTTCCGCAAATTTCCGTTACTGTATTCACGAATACAGCTCGCGAATACATATGAATACAGTTTATATTTAGCTCGACTTCGTTGTTTCCGCCGAGTTTTGCTACCGTATTCATGAATACAGTAGCTTGAATACATCAAATACACTTTATAACAAGTAAAAATATAGCTATAGAAAGTAATTAACTAAATGGTAGCTATAGCAAGTTAATAGCCACTAAACAATAGTCATTTCTGAAAATTCCTCCTGTAGAGAATATAACGCTATACGCAATAAGAAAGACGGTCCAAGTTTTCTTATATTTGGATTTCTATTTTATAACCCAAACAAATTAGAAATTTAATTATTATATCAAGTTCAAAATAAACAGAGTTTCTTATCTAGACAATAAAGAACTACTCAAGAAATTATTTTATTCAAGCAATAATAAATTTATCTACATGGAGATATTCCGGTCTACGTACCTAGAGACTAGTCAGATAAAGCTCATGCATAAGCTGTACAATAAACCAAGAAAGAGAAAAAAGTGGATAAAAGATACCATTGATCGCGCGTAATTATTGCCTCCTAAGAGGTCTATCGATCGTTGCAAATATAATCCGGTTTATAAGTTCGGAATCGAATCTCGAATGGAATTAACCTAATAATTACAACAACTAGTTTTGCACGAATTCAAGTAATCAACCTTTAGAAATATTAAATAACGATTTGAATGTTTACTAACTAAGAGCAAAGTAATTAAAATGTAGTAATTTATAACTAACAAAGCAAATGTTGTCTATAAGATTTGGAAAAGTCTAGGGTTATGATTTTCCCTATTGTCGGAATCCTCCCCGCTACATTTTTTATAAATTCGCCTAAGTATTCTCTACCGATCGTGAGTACTTTGGGTGTCGTAATTCTCTTCCAAGTAACTACCATAATTTACTAGACGTATTCTTCCGAACTACGCTAGCTGACACTAATTTACCGCTCACTATGATCACACCAAGGTTTCGCTATTCCTAATCCCACCTTTAAACTTTTCGTGTTGATTCCTCATATACGTTAGGAGTGATGTTGTTCAACAACTACCTCGATGTGTACCCTTTTTCAAGCAATACACACTAAATAGGCACAATCAATAGAGAGTTCTTCAATCAACCACAATGAAAACATAGTTGAAGAGAAAAATCAAAGACTAATTTATATTAAACGTAATAGAAAATCATCTTCCAATAGGTTCCATCAAACCCAAATTGGAGAGTTTAGCTACTCATAAATATATCAACAATCATCATGATGTTTAAAGACATTAAACTACAAAGTAAAGAGATAAACAGAGGGAAAACTCGTTTGATTCTTGCTCCACAGTGCTTTGTAGCCTTTTTCTTCTCCAAAATAGTGTCCAACCCTTTTTTCACTCGTTTAGGGAGTATTTATATGTTAGGGCCGAAGTACTTGAGTCCAATCCGGGTTGGAGTCTTTTAACCCGCAACTTTTGATCACACCGGGCTATAGACCCCGCGAGGCCAGGCTTATAGCGCGGTCAGCCTGGATACAGAGATGGCTACGCCTGGCTTGTAGCGCGGTCAAGCAGGCTATAGAGTTGGCTATGCTTGGCCTGTAGCACGGTAAAGCGGGCTATAGAGCTAGCCATGCTTGGCCTGTAGCACGGCTTGGGTACTTGGTGAATTTTTTTGCTCTTTTATTGCATTTTCGTCCTCTTTTCGTGCAACTTTCATTCGACTCTTTCTTCCGATACTCCTACACATAAAACAACACAATTTAGCTCAAATATCGAACAATTAATCACTAAACCAACAAAATGTAGGTAATGTACTAAAAGTATAGCATTTTGGCCAAATATCAACCACCATCAGTGTTCTTTGATATGAAAATGTCCCGAGAATAGATTATTTCAACTAAAATTTCAGTTACGATACCAAAAGACCTAACATATACTTCATACAGTATAAGTCATACCGTTCTATTCACTTCATTTACTGTATGATTTCATACTTCTTTCTGAGGAAGTAAAAACAAAAATTTAAGTGGGCGTTTGGACATAAGAATTGTAAAATTCCAAAAAAAAAAAGTAAAAAAAATTTCAAGTGAAAATGGTATTTGAAAATTAGAGTTGTGTTTGGACATGAACATAATTTTGGGTTGTTTTTGAAGTTTTGTGAGTAATCTGAGTGAAAATTTCGAAAAATAACTTTTTGGAATTTTTCAAATTTTCTAAAAATTCCAAAATTCATCTTCAAGTGAAAATTGAAAAATTTATGGCCAAACACTGATTTCGGAAAAAAGTGAAAAAAATTCTTATGTCCAAACGGGCTCTAAAGTATATCAATGGCGCAAGAGATTTTTTTTTTTTTTTTAGCAAATCCACTAGGCGAAGTACGCTACGGAGGATCTTCTTTGCTGGTCTTATCAACCAAGGAATTTAAAAATCTTCCACCATACTATCAGCTTCTATTTCTCCATTGTGTCTATTTCATTTCTTCATTTTTTTTGATAGGTATGATCTGCTTTCCTTATAACAATTAAAAATAAATAAATTCATGGATTAAAATGAAATACATGCACAACCACTGTCTTGATTCAAAATTACTCGATCTCTTTCAGTCTTGCAAAACCTATTTCAAAGTTTGGACAAACACGAATACCTTATACACGAATGACTTTCAAAATTTCCTTGGTTATTTGAAACTTGACCGTTTCAAAGACATATTTCGGATTGCTCCATCAACTTCAAGAAAATATAGCAGTGGATAACATATGAAGATACATAAATGTCATGTGGTTTAATAGAGACCATTTCGCTTCTCTAGCTGATATGGTAAAGCTTGTAAGGTAGGACAAGATCTTTGGGTCCCAACTTATCCTTTTTTCTTGAAAACCGTGGTGTCTGGGCCAGCTTGCACGCACCTCGACTAATTCATACCAACCTTACACTTGAACTTTGATTAATGAGCCAATGCCCCATAATTTAGAGGCTAAATTCATGGGGGAGGCCCTAAAAAATGGCATAAGCTGCTTGTAGATCACAACCATGGGAATCAACTAATAGCAGTTTAAGCTTACAAACAATACATTCCTCAATGTACAAACACAACTTGAATGGTCATACATTCAAGACTCTATTTTTTCTGTTTCCTGTCTGCTATAAACTCCTCTACATTTATTCATCTAGTATGAAGTGTATGAATCATAATACAAGAGAAGTGTCGTTCATAAGAATAGTATCGTTGAGGTTCAGAGATTTATCAAGCTAAAGGACTTCACCATTCCTTATTCTCCCAACCACTCTTCTAATTTCGCCTCTTTATCAGCTTTAAATTCTTCAAAGTTTTCAGATAAAGACAGCAGTTGATCATGAGACATGCTTTTGTTTACCTGTTCTTGTTGTATCTCATCAGCAGTTTGACTTGACAATCTTAAGTCTTCACTATTGGCCCGTCCAACTGAGGAAGAAGAGCTTGCATCTGCAGCTAATAGCGTGTCATTTGTATGTGTTACAGATGGCTCATCCCTGTCCGATAAAGATGGTTCGCTCTTGGCTGGTCGAGATTCTCCGGACTCTAACTGAGGCCACTTGAAATTACTTGCCTTCTGTTTTGCTGACCTGAAAACAGTTGAAAGATAACCGGCAGCCCTCTCATCATCGTCTTCTGAACCTGTATTGCGACCCCAAGTAGCAGGACTCCAAGAGGTAGTAATACCTACTGGGAAACTTGAACGGGGTCCGCTAATTAATCCTTTTTTTGGTTGCTTCTTTGAAATGACAGCTAGAGTATGTTTGAGATCTTTAATCATCTCGTTAGCAGTCGGAAGGCCACACTCTTTCATTGACCCAATCACGATGATGGAATCCTCTAAGTCTTCTGTGTGCAGAGTCATTTCACGGGATTTCTCCTCAGTATTGTTTTTGAGATTTACAAGGTTGGGCGCTGCTTTCTGGGTATGCTGTTGAATGTAGAAAAGCCCCACAGCAGGCTCGTTTGCAATGAACTTTATCATGTCTGCCAAGGATTCAGTTATCTCTACAAAGCCGTCCACCGTGGAAAATTCATGCATTTTTTTGAAGGCCAACGGTTCATCATCACTGGTGGGGCAAGAAAATAATGAGAGAGCTGCTTCTTAATAAATAATCCAGCAGTTGGAAATGGAAAATTTTCTAACATGTAAGAATGAGAAGAATTGAAGTTGGTGGTCAGAAAAAATAATTTTGCAGATATATACATGCAGGTATTAAATGTATCAAATGCCTATCATGAATTTTCTTGTTAAAAGCACAAACATTTGATCCGTTTGATGTAATAAATTTAACCCAACTTTTGTGGGCAAAAGTAATTTTTTCCCCCTTTCATTTCTCTGGTAAGCAGAGCAAATAAACTATATTAACTTCAATCCATAAGCCAACCTAATTTAAATTAGTCATAGGACATCCCTGATCTTTATGTTTGCTATTTTCCTAAGAATTAACTGAAGTGTGTTATCTGTGTATTCTACATGACGAGTAAGTTGACCAGATTACTTAGTGGTTTGAATCACAAGCTGTGAAGTGCCATAAGTTCTTTCCGACTGGGATTGGGGAGTAATAGGAAAAGTTATGGGGCACCAGTTATATATATATATATATATATATATATATATAAACTATTTCTTATCTACAATAAAAAGTCATGCTAACTCAGGCTCTTTCTGCACACCAGAGGAAACATGAAATGCAATTTGCAGATAGCATTACAACTATCGGTTTTGCAGATAACTATCATTCACCAGCTCAAGATACCATGAACGCATATGGGCATCATCGATATAGCATATCGGTTACCACCAATGGAAAGGAGAGATGAGACGCTCCCATCAGCACATTAACATAAGACAGATAAGCCCTATTCTGCTCAATCCAACATCTTTTTCAGGCAAAGAAAGCAGGAATTAAAGAATATATGCAATTTTGATTGATAGATTTAACTGGGGTAGCAACTAAATAACACATCCTGAAGAAAAAATGCATCAAAGAATGGAGTGAACTGGTAAGTGAGATCCAGAATTTAAAATCTATGATCCTGCAAAACAAAGCAGAAAAGACAATACACATGCAATCTTGACATTCTTTTGACAGATCCAACTGATCTAAGGAACAAGTACACCTAAAAGAAGGAAGTGGTGAGATAAAACCACGGAAGACTTAAAGAAGCTACAGAAAATAGACATGACGTGCCGGGTCAGTTCAAGTTTCCTTTCCACATAAATAACCCCAAAATTATTTTCTTTACAACTTTCTATTTGCTGCACTCTTTTGTCTCCTTCAATATCAGCTAGAAACCTTGAGACGGGTTTCTCTCTTGGCAGTTTAGCAGATAGACCAAGTAATATGAATTACAGGCATTTCTAAGAGGAGATTGAGAATAAGACGTGAAACTAGACTGTGATAACCACATACCTCAACGCTGATGAGAGAAACCACAAGGATAATGTATTGAAATCAACTTGTCAATGAAAAGAAATATAAAAGAAAACTGAAACAATACCCCCCCCCCCCCCTCTTCCACCATAGAGAAGAAAACCATCCTTGGAATCATCAGCTATACCATGACAGACAAAGGATTACAGGGTTCAATTAACCAAAGCATAAACAACGCCCAAACAATTGTTTTATCTACCTCGAGAGCAATATATGTTTATACGTCTTGGTTCTTTCAATTTGAGCATAAATTACAGTCTCAAAACATCAGCAGCTTGAAACTTGATCAGAGTAGCATTTGACTTTACTATTGCAATTTGACTTGTTTCCATTTATTATCATTTCTATTTTTCTTTAGATATTCATAAGCTACATATGCAGTTGCATTTTTTTCCTTATCTTGTAAGAACATATTATGTATTCTTGGCTCCACAACCACAACTAGCAATAACAGATAACTAATAGAATGCAACTTATGGTCTAATAGAAATCTCAATCAATTAAATATCTCCTAACCAAAAGTAAAAAGAGAGAAAAAGGATTATAGTTCCTAATTTTTTTTTCTCCCACAAGTATCTTACTTGAACATAGATCATGTCCACCGAATACTGACAAGCTGATTTGAGGTTTGATAAAATACTATTATTTGCACAACCTGCAGAACAAAGTAGGTAACCATCATTTTAACATCCATAATTCATACTCCATTCGGTCAAATTTGGAAATATTTCCTTAAATATGCAGAGAGAAGAAACTGCAGGTGTTACATAACAAGGTCATCGATTCAGCACAGCTAATTCTATTATTCCAATTTTTGCAAGAATCCACTTAGAATTGTTCTGGAAAGAAAACTAGCTGAGAGTAAAGTAACCTAAAAAGACATCTTTCTACTTTGTTTACACCTTAAATTCAAGGTTTTCTCTTTTTCAGTAATAATAAGCTTTACCTTATTTAAAAAAACAAAGACAATACAAGTACAAAAGAACCAACAACAACAACTCAGTGTGATCCCACAAAGTGGGGTCTGGGGAGGGTAGAGTGTATGCACACCTTAACTCTACTCTATGAAGACAGAGAGGCTGTTTTTGATAAGACACCCGGCTCAACAAAAAATGAAAAAGAAGCAGTAACAACAACAAGATAAGATGATAGAATTACCAAAGCGAAAGAAACAACATATTGTAAAAGAAATTTGCAGATAAGAAGATACAAAAATACGAGACTAATACTAATGCTACCGGCATGAACCCTTTACTGATTCTAAATTAGTACTAACCTATTTAGATTACATTCTTGATTTTCCCTATCAATGCAAATCTATAGCCTGTAAAACTGAAAGAGGAACAAAAAGAAAAAACCAAAATTCTATTTGACCTCGAGAAAACCTAAATTACCACAAAAAAACAAGTGTACAGTACACCTCAATTAGTCAATCAATCAACGAATATCCAACAAGATATAACAGAAACCCATTTCTCAAAAAACAAATTTTAGCTCAAATTCTCTATCAATTAGGCACTAAACAAATACAGAACAAGAAAATTATAGAGGGTACAATATATCAAAAACAAGTGTAAGATCATATAACTAACAGATCAAAGTAGAGAGGAAAAGGTTGATTTCAAGCTTCCCTGAATCTGTTGATTGCTTTGACAACAATTGTATATGTTTGTTTAATGTAGTATTATTATTTTTATATGTACAGAATTAGGTATTTGTCTGTACTTTGACGCAAGTGAAAATATCAGATTTTGAAACTTAACCAGAAAAGGACAGCTACTTTTCCTTTTCCTTTTTGGTCGTTGTTTCGATTACTGTTCTAAACTACTGTAGGATTTTGATTCAAGGGCCTTTTGGTGCTGTAAAATCTCTACCGTCCATTGGTATCATTGTTGAGATCGGACTTCGAGTTATAGGGTACAACGCGAATAGCCTAATGTACTGTAGCTGATTAGCTGGTTGACTATTTGTTGATTGTCAATAATGGCCCTGACTTTAATTTATTACTCAAAATTCTAACTAAATACCAGGGAATATAATTAAACCAACACAAACTTGTTTTTAGTTACTAGTCTCTATACACGTGTGTTGTCACGTTGTCAATTTTTTTCTCATTTAGTAAAAATTTTATGTAAGAAATAATAATATTTTTAACCTTATTAATATTCAGAACATACTTGGTTGAACTATGAAGAGGAAATTGAAGTAGTAGAAATATTAAATGCTTGCACTTCTTGATTGGGTGTTGTGATTTGCAATCCTGGTGGTAGATAATATTAATCATTTCGACCAAAAGATTTTAGTGACAGAAAATAAGAATTAGAGATCAAGGAGGCCATTTCGTAAAGATACATTTGGCATTATTCTTGAGGAATCTGAAAATCTTTTCTTGGCTAACTAACAACAATATTTTCTACTATTGGCTTGGCTAATTAAATATATTGTGTGATGCAAATAATCAAATATAGTTATGCTTATCATGCACTATGTTAGATAGGGAGAGAAATTAAATAATTATCCGAAATTATTATTCTTCAAGCAAAGACAAAGAAATTTTTAATAGCTAAATGATCTCCAACAATAAATAAAAATTAAGAACTTTACCAAATCAGATCAACATTGATAAAGATAAAACAAATCATAATACCCCCCAAAAAAAAGGGTTAAAACTCCATGTATGCAACTTGATTATATTGCATATCAGCATACGTAGCATCTAACGTAAATAGAAGAAAGAGAGGAATTTATGAACGTGCATTTCTAATTCAAGTAGGATCGACTTTGTAGGGCCGACATATGTGCAGTTTAAATTGATAAAGTATTACACCATTAGGTAATTTACCATTAGATCCTTAAATTATACAAATATTTAAGGGCATAAAAGTCGATCAATATTTCGAGGATATTTTAGTCGTTCAACATTTAGTATAAATTATTCGTGCTTTTATAATAACTAGTTTCTATGTTCATGCGTTGCACGAGATTCTTAAGTCAATTATTATGAAAAAAATTCCAAATTAAATTTTTGAAAAATAGTATATACAAAAAGAAAGAATCTTGTGTTTTATATAGAGGCAATATGTGTTTTATACGTGGGATTTATTATGGCTTTGGAACTCTAAGAGCATGTGGGATTCTACTATTTTTACGTGTAACTATTCGGGTAGAATTAGTATAGTATTAGAACTTTACAATCGATTAATAGTTTTTTTTAATCTTTAGTTGGTATCATATTCCTAAATATTAGGCAAATTAATATTAGATATTACTATTTTATCCAATATGGAACTATCTTTTTGACAAAATATTTAAGGGTATAAAAGTTAGATATAGATATAGATAGATATAGATACAGATAAGATAATCAGTTCTTTTTTATTGCTATAGATTAAGTATGTCGCTTGTACACAAGATGCCATCGTTCATAGTTCATACTTGAAATTGGGAAGGCTCTAGGATTCTCTCACAAGTGTAGTCAAATCTAAAGTTAATTGATCAATTATATTTGATTAATACCAAATAAGTAGCGAAGCAACTTTGTAAGAGTTGTCGGCCGTCTGCTTTTATGTTTGACTCATATTATAATTAAAAATAAATTTCTAGTTTAAATCGAAAAAGAATATTCGGTAGTATTTTGAAATTATAATTATATTCATATTTAACTTGCTTCATTACTTCCAATAAATTTCTAAAGCAGGTAATTGAGCAAATACTGTTTGTGGTCTAAAAATTAATATATCCTTACAATATAATCAAAGCAAAAACTATCCAAAACATATACGTATCAAGAACCAAAAATAGAATATATTGAAATAACACAATCCGACAATCAAGAATAAAGAATTTATGATAATACTATCTCCGAGCACTTCATAACTCGACATCTCTTATGACCTATCAGCATGATAGGTACGTAATATATAATTTAAAAGATTGACAACTGTAGACATCGAAATTCTAATGGATCAAGCCAAATCCTAAATTTAAAAATACTACAGGACTCTTGAAATCCTAGGAGTCTATTAGAGTTTCTTGGAAGTTACTCTACCAAAACCCTAGGTCACTCTTATAAAAAAGGTTACATAATCCTTTAAAAAATATCTCAAAAATGGAGATCATCTCGAAAATCCCATAGACTCACAAGATATTCACAAAGAGATCAAGAAGTGGCCGGATAATTCTTGATAATCAAATATTTCAAGAAGATCCAACATACTTCATGGAAATCAAATAAATTCATGAAAGCCCGCACCATCCTACATTCGAGAAACACGCTGTTCTAGCCCTCGAATCACGGAGATAATCAGGAGAGAAGAATCAAGGGGATAAACAGATTGTACCCGCGTCTTTTTATGAATAAAATTATGTTCCTTCATATTTATATTGTGATTGCATTTAATTTTCTACTCTAAGAAAATTTGTTGCAAATAAATTGGCACGCCCAGTGGGACCAGTTCTGCCCCTCATCTCTTCCTCCTGCAAATCTAATACTATATGTTTCAAAATTAACTACTACGGTCGCCTTCCGAAAGAGCAATGATGTTCCAAGCAAGTCAAGTACTGTCTCATGAGAATTACCACGTAAAATTGGTGGTTAGAAACCTCACTTTGTTGGAGTCAAAATTCAAGTGCAATATCACTGGCTCTAATGTGTGCTTGGCTACGTCAATTTTCCAAATTATAAAAATGAGCAGTTCTATTGCATGAAACAAAACAGATGAAGTAGCAATGTCCATGTACAACAAGGAATTTTGAAAAATCCATGTACAACAAAGTATTAAGTTCCTACAATTTAGTGCTACGTGGAAAGAAATTATTTGTATCATGGAGTTATTACTGAAATACAATTTTGGAGAAAGGCAGCTTCTTCATTGAACACAAAGACAACAGAAGTCCACGTGAACAAGAAGTGACGCAATGCAAAGAAGTCTATCACCCTGGTACTTCAAGTCTTGTCTTTCCTTTCGGCAAACCCATGCCGACAAGCCTTGAAGTAGGGGGCATTTGTAGACATCGAAATTTTAATGGATCAAGACAAATTCTAAATTTAAAAATACTACAGGACTCTTGAAATCCTAGGAGTCTATTAGGGTTTCTTGGAAGTTACTCTACCAAAACCCTAGGTCACTCTTATAAAAAGAGTTACATAATCCTTTTAAAAATATCTCAAAAATGGAGATCATCTCGAAAATCCCATAAACTCACGGGATATTCACAAAGAGATCAAGAAGTGACCGGATAATTCTTGATAATCAAATACTTCAAGAAGATCCACAACATACTTCATGAAAATCTTGTAAATCCATGAAAGCCCGCACCACCCTACGTTCGAGAAACACGCTGTTCTAGCCCTCGAATCACGGAGATAATCAGGAGAGAAGAATCAAGGGGATAAACAGAATTGTACCCGCATCTTTTTATGAATAAAATTATGTTCCTTCATATTTATATTGTGATTGCATTTAATTTTCTACTCTAAGAAAATTTGTTGCAAACAACAACATATTGAAAACGTTAATTTTCTCGTAATTTGAAATTTCAAAAATAGTTAGTAGAAATATACAATTAATTTACCATTGAAGAAGATATGTATTATCTTAAGAATCTAAAATATGAAAAATAAAATTGATTAGAGGAACGTACTTTTATTGGAATTCAAGATAACAAATTCACATGGAGCCCTTTGTATAAAACCATTGAATTCCTTTAAATAAGGTAATTTGTGGTAGAATCCCAAAAGAAATCAGACGTTCGAAGAAAAGTTTCAATTCCGTTGCAATCGTTATCTGGAAGAGTCCTTCGGTGTAGTTTAAATCGGAAAAAATCCGGTCTTTGGTAATTTACAATTGTATCCTTAAATTATACAAATATTTAAGGCTATAAAAATCGATCAATATTTTAGGAATATTTTAGTCGTTCAATAATTAGCATAAATTATTCGTGCTTTTATAATAATATAGATAGATAGATATGACCCTACTTCTTTTTTTACACACGAGAGATTTACTTTTACACACAAGAAATCAGTTTTTCACACATAAGAGATCTAAAAAAATTATTTTCTTAATTTTAAAATTCTAAAGGGGTACGATGCCTATTCCCTCCTAAACCACGGGGTCAAATGGTTTTTTTTTTTTTTTTTGGCTCTTTACAAACTTGTTTTTAGTTTTATAACCCCGCATCTTTTTTATACATGAGAGATTTTCGTTTACACGTAAGAGATCTATCTTTTACATATAAGAGATCTAAAAATATCATTTTCTTAAATTTAAAATCGTAAATGAGCGAGATGTATATATAGCACCACGATTTGTGTGATGGAATGATTAATGTCTATCTGAAGTTAACCAATGTACTCGAGCTTGGGAATGGAGTTTCTTTTGATACGTAACGTTTTATCATATTTGCATGTTAATTAACAGTGATATCTAACAATGTTATGTAAGTTTTAGTAGTACAAAAATGTTATTTTAGAAAACAGTTGTATATTGCGTGCCAGAATCTATACAAACAATGTTAGCATTCCTTGTTTGTATCCTTTGTAATGAAAGATCTAGATGCATGCTACACTCACGACGGGAAGAATAGTTGACGAAGTATCAAGTTAAATGATCAGAGGCTATATATTGTCAAAGGCGAGCCAATGAACTTCTCAAGAGCTTCCCTTGATGCGAGTAGAACTATCTATTTGAATTATTAAGAAAGAAATATGAACATCATTGACTTTGATCCTAAGGGTGGAAAGAGAATCAAATCCAACCGCCCAGCAGTAGGGGTGTACGCATGAATTTTGTAAGCGGTGTTGTAATTTATAGAAGAACGAGAATAATAACTTTAATTATCATATTTCTAAACAAAAGGTAGCATTAGTCAATTGGTTTTGTTTCGTCTTAAGTTAGAAAAGGTTTTGAGCTTGATACTAGTTCATTACAATTTTTAACCACAGAGTCTCTCTTAAATATTTGCAAAAAAAAAAATTCTAGTTGAGGTTTGAACCTCTAATCTCTTAGAGACAATTATATCTCAAGTGATGTCAATTTTTTCCTAGTTATCCGTTTCCTCAGAGTATTATACATATGTTTAGTAAAATTTTCCGACGAAGCGGTATTGTGTGATACCGCTTCGTTAAACGTGCATCCGCCCCTGGCCAGCGGGATCTTGACCAAGTCACTGGAAGAATTGCTGTAGCTCATTAAGAGATAAATTCAGGCAATCTTATGAGTACATGAGTTAGCTCAGACTTATTGTTTCAGTTTGGACCTATATAAATTTAGTAGGGTACTGTTCAATCAATTTTGTGGATATTGTGCCTTTCTGAACTTTGCGTTTTTTCTCAGTATATCAGTCTTGACCTTTCTACCTGGAGATGTATTGTAGCATGTCTTACATTCAATTACCCCCTAAAAAGAAAAAGGAATTATTAAGAAAGCAGCCCTTCATTCCTGCTCTGAGGAGTAGACTGAAGGGCTTATCGCTTCTCCTGCTGCGAATTAAGGTTAGGTATCAAATTTGCTGCTACTCGGAGGCGGTTCAAGCACATGCGAGGGGGCCTAAAGTTAAAGTTTAACGGGAGTTCTATAGTTTTATCCACAAAAACTAAACTAATTACCCTTACATACCCATTAGTTTTTCTATCCACCAAACTAATTACCCTTCCTACCCATTGCAGCTTTTGTGGGTAATTGTTTCTCTTTCTTTTTTGTTTCTCTGCTTTTTTTTCTTTTTTTTTCTCATTTTTTTGTGTTCATATTTTTTTCCCAGAATCATATTATTCTTTATTTTCTTTATTCAATTATCTGGTTTTATACTCAATTTGGCTCGTTTTTTTTGATTTTATTTTTCTTTCTTTTTTGTTTATTATTTTAATTTCGCGTTCCTTTTCTAATTTCATTGAACTTTTTTTAATTTCTTTTTTTCCATATTATACTTTTATGTCTTCCGACAACTACTTCATATACAATTAATATTATTTTTATGGAACTCCATAAAAAATTTATTTAAGAAAACATTCGTAAGAACTTAGTTGGAAAAATAAAAATAAAAATTAAAAAATAATTTATTTATTAGGGTATACGGTTATATTATATTGTATACTATAACAATATAATGCTACTATAACCATACCTTTAGCTTTGCACAATAGCACCTAGATGATTCAACAAATAGCAGTCAAAGTATACTGTTATAGTATATTGTATACTATTACAGCATACTGTTACAGTATACTGCATATACAGTATACTGTTACACTATATTGTTTACTATAACAGTATACTATTGTAGTATAGTTATATACTCCTACAGTATATTGTATACCATAGCGGTACCATGTTAGGTAACTGTGTTCTTCTTCGCCTATTATACCGTTGTAGTATATTGTATACTATAATAGTATAATATTGCAATATAGCTATATACTCCTACAACATATTGTATACTGTAGCGGTATACTGTTGGGTAACTATGTTCTTCTTCGATTTTCAATAGAAAAATTCGATCTCAATCACCTCAAATCAGCTCCAAATGCGATCAAATTTCAATATGAACTTCCAAAAGGTACTATAAGCAATATTTAATAATACTCACTTTGAATCAAACAAGAAATCTTTAAAATAAAAAGTTTAAATTCAATAGCTTCAAGCCCAACAATGATAAATATTCAAACACACATAAAAATTAAGATCCGAGAAGCTTACTTGAAGGTACTATAAGCAATATTTTATAGCACCAACATCGAATCAAACAATAAATCTTCAAAATAAATTTCAAATTCAGGAGTTTCAACCTCAACAATGGTGGGTCTTCATACAGACACAAAAATCATATCTAGGAAACTTAATATATATAACCACAACAACACATGGGTTGAAAAATACAAATAAAAACACAAAAGAATATACTAATATAGAAAGAGGATTTTGGAGTGAAACTCGTGTACAATAGTATGAAAATTGTCTTTTAAAATTTAATTTAAAAAAAAGGGAAATGCATGGGTTTGTACTGGATTTTCACCACCCACTAAAAAGACTAAGCTATGAGTGATTCTTGAAAGGGGAAATGAATGTTGGGGTGTGGGACTCTAGCTTGTTTAGAGAAATTAAAAAGGGAAAAGGGATTAGGTAGGAGGGTAAATAGTTTAGGCTGTATAGGTAGGAAAAATAAATCTTTTGGGCTTGGGTAGTAAAGGGTAAATAGTTTGGATTTAATGGGTATAAAGTGAGATTTTTCCAAGTTTAATATGAGGCCTAAATTTTAAAAGAAAGTTATAAGATATATGTTTTTATTTGAAGTCTGTTCTTCTAACTTTTTGTGATATAAAGTTGTTAATAATCTTTTTTATAATCGATTTTCTCAAATAATTCCTTTTCGGTTGATAATATAGCGAACTCATTTAATCTTTCTTGAGATATTGTTGATTTTAGATAAGATTTTATAGAGCACTATTGGAAGCTTAAAAGTAGTTGAACACTTGAATTAATCAAATCTTGGAGAAATAAGGTGAGTAATGAAATCATGGAGAAAGAACATGAGTAAAAATATTAAAGGGCAAGAAATAAAATATGTAGGGGTTTGTGAAATTTAAAGATTGATTTGGACAAATTGAAAGTAAAATTCTGATACGTTATCTAATGAAGGAGTAGTAAACAATTGAAAGGAAAGTTATTCATTTACCTATTTTTAATTAAGTCAAATCATTACTTTATTTATATATCTAAAGAGTTTTTTTCATTCTTTTATATTAAAAACTCTACTTTTGTATTAAAAGTACTAAATATTATTTTTTAAATGCCTATAAACCTATTATTTTTAAAAAATAGGGCCGCTCAAATTTGGGGGCACAAGGCACAAGCCTTACCATGCATAACTATAGAGCCGGCCCTGCTGCTAGTAATGACTTTTTCTGGTCAACTACGTACATTTCCATTTCTAAGGTTTCTAACAAAAAGACTTGTTACATATAATGGACTGAATCAGGACCTAAATTATGGTTGTATGAATGAAAACGAGGTTCTAGCCATCCTACTTCTAAAACTAAGATCCTCCAGGTTGCCTCTCCTTACTAGCAAAAAGAGAAACAAGCAACTTGATAAGAAAACCCCCTTGCCTCCACATATAAACGCAGAAGTAATGAATAGATCCCCTCAATCTGATGACCATGAGCTGAATGACAAGGATTATGAAGGTATAACATATACTAACAGATAACCAACAGAGAATGCAAAATGAGGCATGTCAGGGTTCACAAGAAGGGTAAAGGGGCAAACTCTGGAAAGAGCATTAAAAAGTGACACCAAGACTAAGCAAAACTGGGAAATGTTAGGTTAATCTGAAACCCATGGTTATAAATGCAACAGCACCACCATATCTGCGTAATTTAATTCTTGCAGGACTGGTGTCACGGGCACTTCTCTGAAAGCGCAACATGAGGCGAAACAACATCAACTCTTAGTTATAGCCCACCTGCTCTACTCATTGTTGGATCACAATTATGTGCAAACAGTAAAATGTGAGTGGATGCAAATGTGTCGCTACAGAGATACAGAAAATGAAATTCCACTGCCAAAAGTATTATCAAGCAGCAGAAAGAAACAGTCTGTGGAGCTATCAAGAATACTCATATGAACTCTTGGAATCTTGGGCTCGTATAGAGTAGAATGGATATAAAGGATTCATATATTGCTGACTGCGCCTACTTGGGGCTTGAGGTGTAGTTGTTATTATTGTTGTTGGTGGTTCTTTTTTCTAACTTTATCCAGCCCTCTCCCTCACTATCTCATAAAGAAAAACTGAGGACGATGGTTTCCAAGAGAAGCACGGATAAAAAGTAATGGAGAAGTCAATGCACCACCACACCTAGAGGACTAAAAATTCTCAAATGTTTCAACTTTCATCGAAGTCTCCAGAGAAGACACCACTGGACGGACTCAATAATACATATCAAGGGAGGACTCCAATATAGCAGATGCGATTCAACTTCAGGAGAGTTTGGAGTGCGAAGAGCCGAAGACCTCCCCAAACAAATCCAGTTACAGAACTTAATCACAGACCCTTGGAATCATGGTCAAAGCCTGATTTCCAGAAGCAAAAAAAGTCAATTCAATCCAACAAACTAAAAATAACAGAAAAACCTTAGCTCGTAATCTCAACTTTTCAAAAACGCATGATCCCCTCAATAACGCTAGCATAAATTAGTCACACCACGAAAAGACATAATTCCAATTAGTTGGAGCACGACTCTCAGCACTTAGGTGCAACTTGAACTCCAAACTCATATGTAAAGAGGGGCAAGTAAAAAGAACCACAATGTCCATAAAACTGGAATTTTTACCAAGTATAACATCTTGCCAACAAGATACAACTTATAACAAATTCTGTAATGCTACATACATACTACTACTATCTAGTTCAGAAATAATATATATCCAGCATCATACTGATATTTACCAACAAAATCAAACTATACTCAATAATTACCAAAACTACACTAACATCATTTTATAGATTAATAAAAAACACAACAAAAAGAAAGGAGTGAGTGCAAAACTTTCAATACCTTTGATTAACACTATAGAAAATCATTCCTCAACTACAGAGATAAGCTAAAAGCTCCTTTTTTTATGACTGATAAATCCATCAGGGGCCAACCCTTAGTACCACTCACAACCTTCGAAACTCGGGATAATGGGCTCGCCCTTCTACCCTTGAATACACAACTTACTTAGCATGGTAAGCTATGGAGCAAAAAGCTCCCATTTTTAATCAATCATCCTCATCACTTTCATCACTAAAATAACCCTTCCTCTTTTTCTCCCTCCTTTTCTCCTTCTTACATTCTTCATTATCATCTCCCTTCAATAGTCTCTCTTCTGCTCCTCTATCCACTACTGAAGCCCAATTATCATCATCAAAACCCTCTCCACCTTCGTCCTCCCCCTCCCCATCCTCCTCCCACTCCCCACCCCCACCGCCCCCCTTCCCACCACCACCACCACCACCCCTCCGCCCTTTCTTCGACGGCTCGGGCCTTTCCCTTGGTCCAAACACATTCTTATGACACTCATACGATAAATGCCCTTCTTCTCCACACTCATAACACCTACTTTTATCCTTATAAATCTTCTTCCTTATAAACTCTGCTGCACGGCCGTTATCCGAGGCGATTGACGCCGTTAGGGTTCGGCCATTAAGGACCTTTTTGTCAATTCCTTTCACGGCTTTAGTTGCGTCTTCTCTTGAAACGAAGAGGATGAATGCTACTCCGCGGCTCTTTCGGGTCACCCGGTCTTTAACGACGGTTACTTTAGCGACCTTACCGAAAGTGGAGAAGATTGTATGGAGGTCGGAGTTTGTGAGGGTATAATCGAGATTACTCACGTACACTGTTGATTTTGATGGAGCTAGTCCGCCGCTGCCGCTTCCGCTGCCGCGCGAAGTGGAAGAGGTTTTGGACGTGGCGGAGGACGACGGCGCCGGTGAAGGTGCGGAGGAGTAGCGGTAGTAGAAGGTTTCATCTTCTTCGTCGTCGCTGTGTTTTTTCTTCCTCGACATTTTACGATTCGTTTAACAGTTAGCTGCCGAGCCTTACACTTTAGCTACGGTTTGGTCATATATCCCAAATTTATTTTAAAAAATCTGATTTGGGTGAAGTTAGGTTCGAAGATGAAAATGTGTTTGGACATTAACCTTCAAAATATATTTTCCAATTTTATTTTAGAAAAATATGTATATAATTTCAAGTTTTGGAATTTGGATTTGAAATTTGGGATTTGGGATTTAACCAAAATATGAGCAAAATTTATGGCCAAACATGAGTTTTGAAAATAAATTCCAAATTTATTTTGGGAAAACTTATGGCCAAACGGGCCTTAGTACTCCCTTTACTTTAAGTAGTGGGGGTGGGGGTGGGGTAGGGTGGGTTAGACTTATTATAAAAACAAAAAAATGAAAAGAATTGACATTATAGGAATTGATCAAGAAAAGGACCGAATTTTACCAAAAGTGTGTGACAACTATCAACTTTTAATAAGTTAAAAAAAATGGTTTAATTGATTATATTTATATGTTGTTTGACCAAAAAGTATAGTACTTTTTGTTAAACTAATCAAAGGATAAATACGGTGAAAGGTGAATCCTAGTCAAGCATAATAATTCTTAGATCTAGCTAAATGTTTAAATGGCATCATCTGCTCAACGCGTGGAGTCGATTATCAGAATATTAAGTGCATGCTTTTGAGAATAAATGAAGAATGAATGATGAGCAATAAATATGAATAATGGCAATAAATGTAAATAGGAGGAACGATTCACCCAAATATTGAGTGATGTGGAAGATTCTTCCACCCGACAACAAAGTGTGGCAATCAATAAGAAAATGAACAATGCCTTCTTGGACCGTGTGAATAGAAAGGAAGAATAATTGACAAAATCAATCACTATGGAAAGGTAAACTTTGTATTTTTTCTCAACAGTCAACTTCTTACAATAGTTCTTCTCCGAATGAATCTCACGTGCCCCTTTTCCTCTCTCATTTTCTATTTATATGGGATGTTCTCTAAAAACCCTAAAAAAGTACAACAAAGGGAATATTCAAGAGAATATTCCTATCACTAGTCCCAAGACTACACTAGCCGTTGTTCCTACTCTTCGCTACTCGACCTCGGCTACAACGGCTTGCTCAGCGACTGTTCGTTGTTGGGCTTCAGCCGACCTCGGCTTGGCCGCCCAAATCAAAACACATTCCTCACTTAACGACCTTCCTACGCCTGATTTCCTAAGCCGGATTTTGACCCATACAAATAGTCTATCCTCTTGTCGAGGTCGCCTTCTGGCCGGCCTCGATGAGCGGACTTTATCAGTTGGCAACTTAGGAAAAGTTTTTTGACTTGGTGATCGAGTAGAGGTGTCCGTAGCCGAAATGATGACGTGTCGTTCTGAGAGTCGTTGGTCATGAGGCTGGTGCAGGGTGACATCACTACGCATGCATCATCATTGCGCATCTTCCCGATGCATTGCCTTATTCCTCGAGCTCATATCGTTTCGATTCTAGGGCCACTGGCGGTTGCTTGCATCGATACGAATGCCTCTGATGTCTATAAATATAGAGGGGAAAGCTTCTCAATGGAACTTTTGCATTCTCTGATTTCTTCAGCCCTGCACTTGTTTCCCTTTCTCTTTCTTGTGTTCTTTCTCCCTGCAACTGCGGTCGTTGCCACCATTTCTGCCTTTTTTGTTCCATCGTATACACATTAGCGGAAAATGGCTAACGTGACCCCCAACGCTGAGACGATCTCTGACCCTACTCTATTATCGGTGTCCATGCCTTCTGGTAACGGAGAATCAGCGGTTATAGAGGATGAGGGCTTTCCCACTGTGGAGTAGTAACCCTACTTCTAGGTCTGAATTCTCTAAGGAATCCACCCTTGAAGCGGAGTCTGCGAAGTCTGAGATGGAGGCGAAGCACCTTCCCGCCCTTAGGATCAAATATGGCATTCCAGATCACGTTGACCTGGTTCCGGCCGGAGATGACGTGGTTCAAGTTCACCGGCCTGGGTATTATGTGTTTTACGCCTACCCATTCCAGGTAGGCTATTCTCTTCCTCCGTTGGCGGAAGAGTTCTGCCGCTACTACCGTATCTGCCCAGCACATCTTTCTCCCTACCTTTACAAGATCTTCCTTATGTTGGCAAAGTTTGCGGAGCTCGCCGGCTGCGAAGTCTCTATCCGCCATCTACTACATCTCTTCGGACCGAGCTTCCATAGGGGCACGATGATTCACCTCCGCCACCGCGAAACTAAATGGTTGGTGGTGGGGATGGATGATAGGACGAACCGCCGATTTTGGGCCCATTATTTATTCAACAAAACCGAGCACGTGATGGCGAACCCTAGCGAATTTCCTGAACAATTGAATTTTGCTCGTGAGTGTCGTTATTTGGAGTAAGTTCTTCCCTTCTCTTCGTGTTTCGTGACTTGTTACGTTGTTTTTCCTTTTGCATCCGAGAGGCATCCCCCTTCTTTGATCGTCGATATCAGTGATTGGTGGCCCATGTCTTGGCTCACACAATAGGGATCCGTGGCTAGGCGTCTTTCAACAAGAGGTTTGGGCTCAAGCCCTCGACCGATAAGTCGGGTTTCACCCTTATAACTATTCCGCGTTTGTTTTGGTGCATTTCTTTCTTCCGTTTATGGTTTTCTTTTGATGTTAGGTTAGAGAACTTCTAAGAAGGTGAAGGCTTCTATCCCCGCATTTCGCCAGGCGGTTGCTTCGACTAGGATGCAGTTTGTGTTGGCTGAGTCTGTGCGAAATACTTCTTCCCAGACTCCGATATTAAGCGAACCTGGTCGTTAGACGGCCATTCCATCAGCGGAGGTCCCAGCCTGCTCGGTATTTCATTTAGTGGATGAATCTTCCCCCGCCGAGGAGGAAACGACGCCATTGAAAAGGCGACGAGTAGAGGACATGGCCACACCTGAGCGGGCAATCATAGTGGATGTGGAAGCGGCGTGCCCTTCAGCTGCGAAGACTGCTCCCCCACCGGAGATTGTCGCGGAAACTAGGCCGTTGGAGATGGCGGAGGCTACTGCGGAAAGGGAAACACCAGGGGCAGCCGAGGTTGGCTCTTCGTCTACTGGTGGTAGAGGAAAAACGGTCGTTGTGGAGGATGACGGGTCCGGTTCTGATATCGACCCTGAGGAGGTGCGGACTTTCGAGTACTCGAGTGGAGGTGATGACCGAGGGGTCCACTCAAAATATTGTCATCCCCGTGGATTTCAACTTGTTGGTCAACTCGGAGAGTGTGGTTCCAGCTTTGGCTCCCCTATGTGCGGAATCTGAGAACAGGACCTTGCAGACGTTGAAGGATACAGACCTATCGTTAGGCATTTCTGGGATGGCCCTGCGAGTAATTTCTCTCTTAGCGTTTTAGTTTCTTCTTTCCTTTACGTTATTTGCCTTTGCTGACCCTTCTTCGTCTGTTTATCAGACTCTCATCCTGGAGATTGAGAGCGCCCGCCGGGAGGAGAAGAGGACGGCTCTCTATAAGAAGATGGAGTCAAAATACAGAGAGTACCATACTACACACAAGGCCCTGGTCCGCATGCTTGGTGAGGACGCTTCGTTCCCAACTTTCCGTGACGAGCTGAGACAGAAGAATGAGGATTTGAAGGAGAAGGATGATGAGCTCATGAGGGTTATTGGCAAATGCAGTGAGCCCGAAGAGACGTTAAGGACCAAAACCGATGAGCTCGAGGTGAGAAAGGGGATCATGGCCGAGTGTGTCGACCTCCAAGCTCAGGTGACGTCCTTACGGGCCGAGCTTGGGCAGAGCGCAACTAGAGCTAACGGCTTAAGGTATGAGCTGGCCGCCAAAGCTACGGAGTTGGAGCGAATTGAGAGAGCTAGATCGGCTGTTGTAGCGGAGGTGGTGGCGCTAGCGGGCACCCTCCGCATCCTCAGATCAGAGCGGGCTAGTGAAGTAGAGACTTCTACTCTTAAAGAGGCAAGGCTCGAAGAGCGGATATGTGGACTAGAAGGGGAAGTCTTGGATTTGAGCGAGCAAATAACCGTCCTCAAGGCCGAAAAAGCGCAACAACAGGCTCAGTTGTCTACCTCTCATGCTTCCACTTACCCCAACGTCCCACAAGACTTGTACGAAAAGTGGGTCCATGCTGAGGCTTATCTTGACATATAAAGGGGTTTGATGGCGGCTGAAAAAGCTTCTGAGGCAGAGTTTGAGGATGCACGTGTTAAGGCACGTGCAACTCGTGCCACTTGCGGCTATGACCCCGGTACGCCCGAGATGGATGATGACGGAGAGGATTTGGACGGGATTAAGCCATATGCTTGGTACGACGACAAATATTCAAATGGCGAGGGCGTCGTTGATGATGGCAATGGGGAGCTGCGGCCGAATAGTGTGCTTTTCTCTGTACTTTTGTTCTCTTCTCTTTTTTTTTGTGGGCACTTGTTTGGCCCTTGTAAGATGACATTTTGCAATGATAATACTTTTGTTTTCTGTTCTTGAACGTCTTATTTTTCCCTTGAATGTTTTCTGCCTTGGTTGCGATTTCACTTAGGTCGACTGCGGCTCGAACCAGTTCGAGGTTGAATGTCGACTTGTGTTTTTAATCTAACAAAGTCGAAACATAAGTTGCCTCGAGCAAGGTCGAGTATTGATTTTAAATTGGTTCGAAGGAGGTCGATATGAGTGAATTCGAATGTTTAACTCTGATTCGAGCGAGGTCGAATATAAGTCGATTCGATCGAAGTCAAATGTTTAACTCTGACTCGAGCGAGGTCGAATATAAGTCGATTCGAGCGAAGTCGAATGTTAATTGATTCGAACAAAGTCGAATGTTAATTGATTCGAACAAAGTCGATTGTGAGTCGATTCGAGCAAGGTCGAATGTCTGACTCCGAATGATTCGAACGAGGTCGAATATAAGTCGATTCGAGCAAGGTCGATTATAAGTCAATTCGAGCGAGGTGAAATGTTAATTAATTCGAACAAAGTCGATTATGAGCCGATTCGAGCGAGGTCGAATGTTTGACTCTGAATGATTCGAACGAGGTCGAATATA